ATGTCGCGAACTTCGCCACTCGAGATTGACGGAAAACTATCGAACATAGGTGGGTGTTTTTTTCGATCGGGGAGGTCGGCTAGGTCACGCCCTTTCGATCGCCGCATAGCATGCCACTAAGACGCCACGGGTCTAGGAGTAATCGCGAAAAGAGTGACGAGCGCGGAGCGGCGGCGGCCGACTGACATTCGAACAATGCGCGCGCGCCGCGCCGCACTGGCTCGGGCCGCCCGGCAGCCAGGTGGTGGTGGAACCAAGGCTGGCGGGGAGGGGCCGGGCCGGCGCGGGAGGCTGGGCGACAGTTTAAACCTCACGCGCTCGTAGGGGATCGGTCGCTCGTCGCGCGACAGGACAGACTGATTTGCGGATTGAGAATAAAAGTCTCCAAATGCAGATAATAGGTACTGTACTAGTATTTTTTTTTTAGCAGATGATACCTTACAAACATTTTGACTAAACATAAAGAATATATAAGTAACTTTAAGGTGTCAGCTAGCTTTTACTCTCGATGAGTACAGAGAACCATATGGGCAGACCAGAAAACAATTTATTTGGCGCTGGGGGGCCAAGTGAGTGAGTGAGTGAGCGCCCGAGTGTCGCGTCGGTCGCGGCAGGCCCCTGCTCAACAATACTAGGGTCCCACAGCCGCGACTGCCACACCCGGTACGCTTCCCCCTCCCTCCCCTTTATTAATAATGCCTGTCAAAGACGATAAACGAGTGAAACATTTAAAAAATGATGCAAAACCACCACAAATAAAAATCAAACTAGAAATATTAAAACGCAGGTATACTATAGTATTAAATTGGTGTCATCTGCTTTCAAGATAGATTCTTGATTTAGATTTTTCTTTTTTTTTTTTTGAAATAATAACCAAGGGTCAGCGTTTCTTTGCTGTCCTTTCGCAATGTTTTGTGCATCACCTGAAAATAATTCGTTACACAAGTCCTAGGATGTAAAATGTAATGAAACTATGTTAGAAAATAAAAAATTGAATAAATACCAATAGAATATCCTGGAATTGCTCCTCTGAGTGAGTGAGATGCCCATTATATTCTGTGGTTAGCTTGACGGCTCTTTCAGCCACGTCATTCACCACCTGCAAAGCCTCGACAGTTTCGAGTGCGGCCATGTAGCCTTCATGTAAATGCCAGTTAGCAGGGGGTATTTCCAAAAAACTCATATCAATGTCCAGAGCTTCAAAAAAATATCTCGTATGAGAATTGACAAAGGAGCTAAGGGTGACATCAGACATTTTTTTGTTTGAGGGCAAAGTCACTCTCGTGGGCGCATCTCGAACTTTTGGCTTAACGCCGAGGTTTTTCACCATTTTGGACTTTTCTTCGATGGGTACTTCCCTATCGAAGAGAGCCAACGCAATGCAGTGAGGGGACAAATACCACAGATGACCTAAAAACGCCTTCTTTGCGATTCTAGACACTCTTGTGGATATTGATCTGTACTTGACAATATTTTGGAGGAGGTTTAAGTCCGCACTGTGTTTTAGGTGTGGTTCCAGTTCTGTGGTCTTAGCAATGATTTAGCACAGGATTTCTTACAGTGTTCCCTATCCCCTCCACGCGGGATCCGGGACGGGAAAGCGCGGGGCGGCGGCAGTACGGCCGCCGCCACCGGCCGAACCGGGTGTCCTGGAGAGCGCAGGGCAGTGTTGCGGGCCTGCCTACGCTAGGGGCCATGGTGTCAATGACGCCTTACGGCCAGAGTGAGTAGGCAGACCCGCAACACTGCCCTGTGCTATCCAGGACGCCCGGTCGGTACATATCTTACCTGTGACTAAAACAGGCTGGCGTTCCACAATTTCACCCTTTCCATAAAGGGGAGGGAGTTTCTTGCCATCCATGTGGACAGTAAGTGGTCCAGAAGGGTTGAAAGCCTTGCGAATAGCCATTGCCTGCTTTTGTCGTGTAGCTACCCGCAAACGGAAGAGGGAGGTCCTGCTAACGCTCAAAGTCCTGATGTTGATATTCGCAAACTTACACATTGACGCCACTGTCCGGAATGCAGCGGAAGTGCTTATCTTTGCTCTGTCCAAATTGACCGCCAGTCGCTCCAGATCTTCTTGAGAGGGGGCATTTTGTAAGAGCATTCCTACGCCTGCATTCTTAGCAGCGGCCTCAATTTCCGGAGTGTAGTCAGCATCATACTGTGCACCCGCACTCTCCTCCGGTTCCGGTTCTGAATCAGGCTCTGATCGGAGCAAAACATACGTGCCTTCGATTAGCCTAAAAAATGTTTATAGCATAGAAAAAACCGTGCATATTAAAAAGGTAAAACGTACCAATTATACGGCAGTTACGTCTTTTACTGCGATTAACCACGAGATTGGGTTACACTGTAAAAACATTGCGAAGCAACCAACCAGCCCGCAATCTTTTTATCAGTGTAACCACACTTCGGCATCGAACATCGAACTTAAGTCCGACGGGAATCAGGGCAGGGCGAGGGTGGAGAACCCGCGAGCCGCAAGCCGTAGCCGGTGTCCAGTGGGTCGAATCGGTACTGGTGACCGGCGTAAATTCCGGACACGACGGCGAAAAGGGGATTGCGCGGTACGCTTTAATAGTCAAAATACACTGTCAAAATTCCTTTCCTTCACAATAATAAAAAATATCTTGTTTGGAATAGTAGACACCAACAAAAATAATTTCTGTGGTCTGAAATTTTGACAGTGTATTAATAACTGTTTGCGATACTGTAAAAAAATATACGTATCTTTGACGGCATTACGGACCATGACCAGAATAGTACAAAAGAATCACAAGCTTCAAAGTGGAAATACCAGAAAAAAAGCGTGCAATACTTTTGTCGCTAGAAACGGCATGGCAATGTCCCCATAGTTCGTGAATTTTATTACAATGTTGCTACAGCTTACCAAGTGGCGCAGTGGGCCTACTCAGCCGTGGTCGCAGCCGCGAGCCATGGGCCTGGTAGAGGGACTCACGCGCTTAATCCCTTGTGGGGGGCGAGTCATCGGCCGAGGCCACTTCAAGCTCCAGCTCAATCTCCTCCCGAAAAGCCTTCAACTTCAGTGCCCCAGAAGCTCCGTTCTTGTTCTTTCGCAGCCAAATAATTTTCTGGTGCAAACTCAAATTTTTTTTTGAGATGTTCTGCCAAGTCATTGTTTTTTCTAGAAAAACAGCAACCAATGCGATTTCAGAGAAAGAGCAGCCTTCCTGGCAGCTGTCTTCTCAGAATCGCTCTCAAAGTAGTGGTAGAAGACTCGCAAAACATCAACTTTGGCGGGCCTCGTTGGTTTGCGGGGGAAATCAGGCTGTGTGTAGCGCACAATCTCTTTCCAAAGCGGCGGCGGCGCCATTTCTAATTCACAAGAAAACTACTGCCATAGAAACGAGAGACGAAAGCCCGATTGTTGATTTGAAAGAAAACACTAAATAAATACCTTACAATAACAGAGTAACGCGACGAAAGTAACAAGTCACCCTCCGTCCGCCGGTGCGTCCGACTCGTGTGCAGTCAGTGTCAACTGTAGTGGTCAGTGAGGGTCTGGGCAGCCGGCGCCCGGACTTGGCAGGCATCAATGACATCAATACAAACTTCCCTGGTGCATCGGCTGCATCGTCGTCTGCTGGCTGACCCAGAGCGCCCAGCCTCCCGCGCCGGCCCGGCCCCTCCCCGCCAGCCTTGGTTCCACCACCACCTGGCTGCCGGGCGGCCCGAGCCAGTGCGGCGCGGCGCGCGCGCATTGTTCGAATGTCAGTCGGCCGCCGCCGCTCCGCGCTCGTCACTCTTTTCGCGATTATTCCTAGAGCCGTGGCGTCTTAGTGGCATGCTATGCGGCGATCGAAAGGGCGTGACCTAGCCGACCTCCCCGATCGAAAAAAACACCCACCTATGTTCGATAGTTTTCCGTCAATCTCGAGTGGCGAAGTTCGCGACATTTATGCCCCTGGACGTGACAAGGGTAGGCCGAGCGCGGATTTTCGTAGTCGGGCTGAAAGTAGAGGTCATATGGACTCACCTCGGCACTGAGTCGCTCCTCTCGGCGCCGCGTGTCGCGCGCGGCGTGCGCTCCAAGATCACGCCTCGGTACTGACGCGCGAAACGGCCGAAACTTTCAGATCAATCAGCTCACTGGCGCTTCGTCGCACAGTGTTCGGACCAATTCTTAAGGTCATTACTGGTAAAAATCTATCATTTTAGACTCGAACCTCCTCAACTTTCCACTCGGGCCTTCAATTTGGAATGGCCTATCTTACGTCCCCATGAAAATCGCCCCTAAGACAATTCGTCCTCACCTCTGTAGTCCCCTGTCAGTATGACCCCATCCTTCATGTCCCCATGTTTTGCCCCCAAATCAATTTCTTACTTACTGGCACGTTGTCAAGTTGAGTCTTACAAATTTAATATTACAAGTTACAAACCAACAGTGAAACCACAAGCCCTCAAGAAGTCAAGTACGCGTCCCTCTTCTTTGTACGCCGGGTACTGGTTCACCAGGTTAAGCAAACGCTGGTTGATGCGCTTGTACTTCTGTCTCTGCGGCTGCTTGACTTTCTTGCCGAGTCCCAGTTCCGCGATCATCACTGCAGTGTCAGCTTGCTCCTTGATGAACTCGGATCTAGGACAGCTCGCCCCAGCTATTTCGCCCCAGTACTAATTCGCCCCATGACCATTTCGACCCAAACCCATCTCGACCCAGTCCTAAATCGCCCCAAATAAAATGTGTTTTTCAAGGGATTTCAAGGGTTTTATTCAGAAATATCCTGCCAAGTTGTGGCCAATGGCCCGCAGGTATGCGACGATGTCGTCGTCCTCCTTGTACTCCTGGTACCGATCCACGATACGGTGGATTCTTCTTTCCGTCTGCTCCAGCTGGCTGCGGCGTTTGCTGGGGGAGTGGCCGCCCTCGGCCCTGGTGATGTGGACGTCAATCTCGCCCACTTCCTCCTGGAGCTGGCTCAGGAAGACGAAGAAGGAAGGGTGATGCTTCCCGATGAGCGACGACAACTGCCGGTGCCAGGCCTCACAGGTGTTGGTCGTTCTGGGGAGCCCCTCCAGAGTCCGCTCGTAGCAGTTCCATATGTGAGGGGGGAAGAGGGGAGCCGTCCCCCGACGGACACGTCCTCCACGACGTGCTCGGAGCCGGCCTCTGATTTAGTTTTCTTCGACGTGATCGAAGATGGGCTGCAGATTCAGCACGCTGGCTTCTGAGAGGGCGTCGAATGCGTCCTCGACGTCGTCCACCGGGACGAAGGCCAAGGCGATGAGGGTGTGGAAGTTCGCCCTCATCTCCTCGTTGGCCTCGAGATGGTAGGCGACGGCGAGGCCCGCACCCTGAAGTTGGCGCCACTGGGCCTGCCCGAAGTGGAACAGGCACCCAGCTACATCTGCATCTGGAGCATAAAAAGCGACAACGTTAAAACCCAAATTAGCCCGATTTCAATGGAATTATCATTGAAAAATAGGTTATTAACCTGGGAATGCTGCCCGCTTGAACCACAGCGACGGTGGTCGCTCTAGAAGTCTCTGCCGCCTTCTTGATTGCCCTCACCGTCTCTTGTGCTTTGCAGCGACCCCAGTCAGGTTCATGCGTATGTGGTTGCTGGTCAAGGACGGTGTCGTCCCTCAGCACGGTGATGCGGCCATTACAGTTGCCTCGCAGATCACAGCGCCACCCCGCCCCGTCCTTCTTCTCACGGTGGAAGACATACATAAACCCGTCATATATTGCTTTCTTCGCCCCACGCTGAGTAGAAGTGTAGCGAACTTTGCTAGTGCTGGCCTCGCCCATGGCTACCCGCGCACTGACCTCTCCCCCGCCCGCCACGCTTATATAGGGGAGGGACAACAATGCCGGCTGGGGGGCGGCCGGGGCCGGGGCGGCATGGTAATAGAGCCATTAAAACGAAATGGGGCGAGATTTTGTAAATTTGGTCGATTGGGGCGAATTGTCAAAAATTTGCAATCGAGACTCGCCCCAAAATCAGGGCGAGTTAGTTTTGGGGCGAGTTGTACCTTGGGGCGAGTTAGCCGAGGCAAAATGTCCGTCACCCGAAGAACTCGCCGATGAGAGTGTAGAGTGCAGGGTGGCTCTTTCCCACCATCGTCTGGGTTGTGAACCAAGAATAAGTGTCATTATTCTCAAGTTGTTGTTTTTTCTGTTTTTTTTTTCTTTTCGTATCCTTAACTTTTTACACTGACCTGAAATCTGTTGTGCCACGCTTCCATGGTGTTGTTCGTACGGGGATCGTCGCTCAGCACGGCCTCGTACTGATTCCATTGGTCTGGCGGATAGCGCGGCGGGACAGCTCTCCTGCCACCCTGCGCCCGCTTGCCGAGGACATAGGTCTCGGCGAAGTACTTCGTGAAGGGCCTCATGGAGTTGGGTATGTTCGCTCGCGCTTCTTGAAAGCTTGCGGCGACATCTTCCGTCGGGACGAACGCACAACCCACTACTTGTCGGAATGTGTCCCGCACCTCCGTGTTCTCTTCGTCCCGGTAGGCGACTTGCAGCCCCAGCTCTTGAAGGCTGATTGCCGAAGGTGGAAGAGGCATAGTTTTAAGGCAGCGTTTGGAAAAGCCAGCTTCACGGCATTGATGAGTCCTTTCTCAAAATCCATAATGACGAGCCGGGGACTTGGCCGACGCATCCGGAACTCTTCACATTTCATCAGAATGGCTGAGAGGACTCGGGTGTACGATACTCCAGATTTGTCCGGGAGCAAGGCGTAAGCCAAAGGGAGAGTCTCGTTGTTCACTTCACCATGTACAGTCAGAATTTGAGCGAAGATGTCAGGAGCTGGATCGAACGTGCCGTCTAGCTGAAGTGTGCCAGACGCTGCGAGTTTCTTGAGATCAGACCTCGCTGCAAACAGTAGAATACGCTTCTGCGGAACGTTTTCTTCTTGTCCGTCGTCGCTGTCGTCATCGTCGTCATACGAATCCCACAGCAAGAACGACTTTCCTTTGGCCGTCATTCTGAATTCAGGGGGAATTTCAGCCAGATCTTCAAGTCTTTTGGGGTTTTCGGGATATTCTCGTTGTCTTAATCGGTTAAAGGTCCTCTTCATTGTTTGTCTCTCTTGGAGGTATGCAAGCGCCTCCGTTGGCAACTGAGGACCGAGTAAAATAATATAAATACTTAAAATTATCTTAACTTGTGAATCATCCGCTCGCTCCATGTTTACCTCCGGTAAATGTTGCCGGAGTATTTGGGCCGGGGGTGCCTCAGGATGTTGGCTGGCTTGGCGCTTCATCCCGTCGTAAGCGCGTAACGCTTGAGCCTCCTCTGGTGCGGGAACATGGTCGTGCTCGACGGACTTGATCACATCGACGACACCCACACCAACTACCAACGAACCAGAGCTCTTTTAGGGCCTATATCTCTCTGGCCACACTGTCACTCAGGTGGGAAAACTTACCTTGCGGGGATGTAGTTATTGCCCGTTTTTTGCAAACCGGACGGCGCCTACACATCCAGTATGTTCTTGATCCGTCGCGATTTTCCGAATGCCTATTGTACAGGTAGCCATTGAAACTGAGAATTTTGCCTCCTTTCTCCGAAGCCAGAAGTTGACCTTGCATTTTGCCTGGCCGCACCGCGAGCCGCGGTTGCTGCGGGCCCGCTTTCCTTTGTTGAAAAACAAATGCTTCGAAGGCAATACTCCCCGCGAGCAGAGATTTTTCGCTCGGGACAAGAGTATACTCGGGACATTGATTTTTTAAGCAAAATACCCGAGGACGAAAAAGGTGGGGACGAATTGTCAAAGGGACGAAAAAATAGGGGACGATTTGCCATGGATCCCTGATTAGTACCTGATTCTTGGTGAACTTTTCTGATTCTTCAGCAACAGACATTTGTCAGCTATCGCTCATGTTGTACAAACTTGATTAAATACAGAATATAGCTGTGATACACGTTCGGGATTTAATCAGATGTGTCCAGTATCACGTCAGTAAATCATAACTGACTTGGAGCTGAAATTACCTGAAGCGGACGACGTTAGCTATATGTCAGCTCGATTGCAGCCATTAATTGAACTGACAGATATATAATAAGAGCTGACTAAAACTATATTCTCCGGTCAGCTAACTTCAGATTCGAGTCTAAAACAAGTGGTCAATGATCAGCTTTTATACATGTTCAATCAGTTATGGCAGCTAACTTACATCTAGCATCAGTTAACTGCTAGGCCACCCAGCTGAAAATCCCGCCGGAAATTTGGCACTTTCCGGTGGAAATTCGCGATTTTCTACGGGTTTTTCCATTTTTCCGCCGGAAATGACGATCCCACGGAAATTCTCGACGTTACCTGGATAATATTCGTTTTCTTCGGAATTTTTTTTAATCCCATGGAAAATTCTAGTTGCCCTCGGAATCACTTTCCGCGGCTATTCACTTTCCGGGGATTCGTAATGTTACACGGAACACATGTTCCAAGGAGATTGCTTCCATGGAGGAAACGCATTCCACTGAGTGGTGGCAATTCCCACGCAACGTCTAAGTTTCATGGAAATTCCGTGGAAATGCAGGAAATTCCTTGGAAACCCCATCCTTGTACGCAAAGCACTGTTGGGCGGAAACCATCTCAACTTCCATGGAAATTCATAACTTCACTGTTTCAAATGCACATGCTTGGAGAAAAGAATCATCGCTTTCTCATATCAAACTAGACTATTGAACTAATCAAAAAAGTAAATGAGGGAAATGAGTTAAAAATTGGGAAATTAGGAAGTTGGGATGAAAAACCAAGACTGTTGCTTTAAAGGTTATGTGATTACGTTATTAGAAACGAGTCCTCGTAATTAGATCTGTCGTCGTTCCAGATTATTTTTTTCCTACAGAATGTCTAACTTTTACTTACATAGTCGGAACATGGTGCACATGCCAAAGATGCCAAGACATTTCTTTACGTGTGGCCCCCCGAACCAGATGATTTTACTAGCGAAACAAAGACTGTCACTTCGCCTGAGCTGGTGGTGGCGGTGAGCCGACCTACCTAACCTGTAACAGACCCCTCCCGCTCGTTGCTGCTGCCGCTGGCCGACGCACGCAACTCGTGGAATAAAGTTTCGTTACATTCGTTTGTATATTCTTGTGAGGACTGCCCATGAGGATTGAGGATATCGATGGTTTCTTTGATATCGTCGGCATTAATCTACCCAGTAAGTAAAAGTCGGAGCACGGTTTTGAAAAGCAGAATAAACAGATTTTCGCAGAGACCCGTAGCACTTAACCTCAAACATAACCTTAGCATGCTACCGCGGTACGGTATTTTGTTTCAAAATTATTGATTCTTTATGTTCTTTGGTCTTTGGTCGAATGTAAGCTACCAATAATGTGCTGTGTTCATTGATCTGGATCTCCGTGCAATCACAAGCAAAAAAATAATCATGTGTCGCCAAAACCTAAGTGCGAAATGCTATTTCCATGGAAGAAATTTCCAGGGACCACTACCGATGCTATATTATTTCCATGGAATCCATTTCCATCGAACAATGCTTTCCCGTGGAATCACTGTTCCAGGGAAAATTTTACATGGTTGTAACCAAATTACTCAAGGGATTTGAACTCCATGAAATAATTTCCGGCGGAATTTTCAGCTGGGCAACCAGTAAAACTCAGGTGACTTCAGTTAACATCAGCTTTCTTTTTTTCCCGGGTGGTATTGCCATAAGTGAGACTTATTTTGGACACGTGGGACATGGCATATACATACGAAGACACAAAATTCATGTCATTTTCATGTCTTTCGGCTCGTCGGGGCATTTGAATTCAAAATTTGTATCAGAAAAACACTTATTTTAGTTGAAGTGAGTAACGAGTGTGAAATTGGATGAAACTTTACTTAACACTTCTACTTCCAAAACAGTTTGTTTAGTTGTGATAGCTACATTCATGTTGTTTTAACAATATACAATCAACTTCGGTATCCAAGTTATTGACGTTGGTCATGAAGCAGTTGAAGACCTCAGCCAAGTCGTTACCCACACAGCTGAAAGAAGCAGTCCAGACGCAATGGCTGAAGTACTTCCAGTAGATGTGCCTCTCTCGTCTGGTACAGAGACATACGGGACTCTTCCTGACGTGGCTAGGTCAATGAAGAATTTGGATGAATCCTTTAGCGTGCGTTTAAGAGTTCCCGACTCGTAGTCGACGTGAATAAGCCCGAAAGGTCGGCTGAAACGTCAAAAACAGAACACAAAATAATTCAAAGTAATTTCCCCGAAAATTACAAATTCTGTTTTATCAAATATGCACACACAAATACATATGTACACACACACATATTCGCAGCACCTTAACAGTGCAGAGCTCCATAGTAAAATAAAGCATTCCGGTAAGGCTAAGATGCAGAAGAAGCCAGGGAACAAGAAAACGGAAGTCACCATGCACCATGTCCGTTTTCTTCTTTCCCACATTCTTCTGCATTTCAGCTTTACCGGAATGCTTTATTTCAATTTCACTGCTGTGAAAATTAAGGGAAGGGCAATCGAGCACTTACCCAGTGTAACCTGCAGAAAATTCGAAGACATCAAGTAATGACCACACATAATACGCAAGAACTTCTACGTCGTATTCTTTCATGGTGCGCACTAGGGAACGGAGGTTAGCCTGAAAATTACGGTCAAATTAACATATGAAAGTGAAACATATTGAACATATTGCGTTCGAACCTGGCCGGAACCAAAAGAAGAACATCACGCTACGCTACACATTTTTAACACCGAGAAAATGGTTCCTTTGGACTAATGGTAATACCCTTACTCGAAGGGAATTTTTCGTGCATATATCATGACAGAATTAGATCGTTACTTTGAAGGAGCCCGGGTGGAAAGAAGTACAGATAAACTGCATTCGAAACTGTACTTGCTTAACTGTAGTTGCTAAACTATAGTTATGATAGTATTTTAACTCCAATGCTGTTTATAATCAAGACTACATGCTCAAATAACAGTAAGAAATATAAATAACTCACACTTTTACTGCTCTCGCAACTACACTTGAGAATGCACACCGTAATGTAAGTGGTATATTGAGTTGTTGCTGTAGTTTAAAAGCAGATAAATTGACGGTATGATTCGCTCTTTCAATTGTACTTTGTGAATGCAGTCTGTTTTACATTCTATAAGCTATAAATATAGAGTTAAAAAGAATTGTAATGACTGCTTTCATCTGTACAGTACATTTGAGCGGTCTGTTTGCAGAATTACTGCTGTCAGTTTTAAAGTAAAGTCTGTTTTTGGCTGAACATTGCAACTGGTAAACATACCGGGCAGTAGAGGCAACTCATCACCCTTGCAGGTAAAAGACATCCCGGAAAGTCCCGCTCGGCCCCACCCCCCGCAGACGTGCCGTTCTGCTGGCCGGGAGCATACTATGGGCCGAATATCGCGAGAGGAAATACCCCGAACCAGGCCTAGCTACCTACTCAGGAGGGTGAGTACATGTTTCCCAAACTGCCGGAGGTGCTCACGATGCTTTTTGACGCCTCCCCAGCTCGTCGTAAAATACTTCTACACAAAGATATTGATATTACGCGCGTAGTACGTATACATGCATATAATGGTTGGTGTGCACGTGTGGTACACTGCTTTTGTCATGTAAACCTAGCGGCAGGAGACGATTTATTCGGTTGTAAATCTTAGACAGCATAGGAACTATGCAAACGGTGGATAAAATGTAGCATTACTGTAGCTGGACTGTAGTCCGACTGTAGTTCGATTGTGAGTTGTCGGACCGGAGTGCTTGGCTTGTCATTGAGTTACTGCGAGACCAAAGCTATGGTGTCGCAGTGGCTCAGTGGTCATCGTACTGCGCTACCAACTCCGACGTCCGAGGTTCAACTCCCATCAACTCCCATCAACTTTCATCAAGGTAATAGTTCTACAATCAATTAATCGGATGAAAGGGGGTGAGTGGGGGAAGGTAGAAGGGTGGTAGTAAGAGAAATTCTCGAAATAAAAATTTTTGAACGAAGTTTTGGACACTGCACTTTAAGTATGATACTAACTGTAGGTTTTGTTTGTACTTCGCAACTCTTGTCCGGAGTGCAGTTCGAAACTAACCGCCCAAACTGCAGTTAAACTGTGCGGATTCCGAAAAAACTATAGTTTTTCTGAAGTAAAACTGCGACTTAACTACAGAAAAAGTATAGAAATCTGCATTTAAACTGTGGTCTAACTACAGGCTACAGCTGTACATTTTATACATTCTGACAATATTTTAATAAACGTTAACATATGTAGTCCTAACACAATTTGACCTGATTTTGTACACACTTTGAATGCATTTGTGAATGTGATCCGTGTACAGTGCGCCATTACAGTTAGAAGTACAGATCCTTCCACCCGGGAGCTTATCTGTACAGCAATCACTCGGAAAACAAGGCCAGTACAAGAAGACACTGGGTGTGGACGATCAATTCGGCAGGCACAGAAGAAGTACGCCAGAATAAACGAGCGACTTCACACCATTACCGGCCGCTACCAAGAATTCTAGACAACAGACCGCCTGCTCGACTACACACGTGCATGCGGAAACAATATTGCTTTGTAAAACAAAACATTGTGTAAACTTTGTGAATAAAACTCTGGGTGAAGTGCTCCTGGGCCAATCGCACATGAGGGAATCATGCGTGGGTGAAATACTTGAGGGTGAATTACGCCTGGTGAGAATACTTTGGGTCAATGGCACGTGGGTGAGTGGACCTAGATCCAAGAAAAACTCCTTTGACTTAAACGTATTGAAAACCCGGCCTCAGTCTGAAACGCTACGTCCTCCCACGGGTCTTACACTATGGAATGCAGCTCGGACGGTGTCCTTAACCCCCACATGTTTCTGATCTCCGTAGCCGTTCTCAGTGATGATGATCGGAACGTGGTAGGTGCGCCAAATCCAGAGGAGGGCATCTTGCATAAGAGACTCTTCAGTCTAAAATAACAATTAAAACAAGTTATAATTCAGAATTATTTGACCTGATGTCTTGTGAAATTATATTTTAAGTTGTCCGACAGCTAGGCACTTAAGTGAATGCAACGGCAATTCAGGCCAATTCAGAGGAAATTCAAACCCGATTCATATTTGTACACTGAAATTATAGGCTGTTAATCTCTTGACAGTGAGTGTAAGCTGCAAGGTAGTTGCCGTACCACATCAAAGTTGCCAACGCCGGTAACCTCGACGAAGGGCATATCTTTCATCACAGGGCCCAGAAGTATTGATTGTTCGGCTCCAGATGTCTTATTGCGGTTGTAACTAGCTGTGCACCTACTGTACACGTTCACAGCTATGTAGTCAGTCACCCCGCCTGCAAACATAAGATACGTGTATGTTTACGGGACGTAGACGAGCCGATGATCACGATCACACTAATCAAAAAATCGCTGCAAGAGATAGCTACAGTGCAGTCGCGGGTTGAGGCCTGGAGATCTAGGCAGACATGTTGATATGTCCAGCGATGCATTGATTAGACCGTTCCCAAAAAAGAACAGTTAACGGTAAAAACGAAGTCCCATTTTTTAAAGGAAAAAGATAAAACTTTAAAGAAGTCAGTAACTTTGAGGGATTTTTCTTGAAAAATGAGAACGACCCTCAAAGAAGGTCACAAATTGTCAGTTGGTCAAATTTAATTTGTATCTCTTAGGTTTAGAGCTGCGGAACTCGTCCTGCAAAGTTTGACATATTAAATTTGACCAACTGACAATTTGATTGGCTGAGCGATTAGCGAAGCCTATTACTCCGTCTGGTCGGAAAAAACTTTTTCTGTCTGTCTGTTGTCTGTGTGTCTGTCTGTGTATCTGTCCGCACGAAAACTCGAAAACGAATTGAGCGAGCGACCTGGGATTTTCAGGGTCGTTTTGTATCATAAAAAGACAGATCGAGTTCGAAGATGAGCATTCTAGCTCAAAAATTGGATTTTTAAAAAATCGAAAACAACAGTTCCCAAAAATGACGCTTTTTAAAAATATTTTTTTATGGTTTCCTAAGGGGTAACTCATCAAAGTAGAGCCCTATGGGCGAAAATTTTGTCCGTTTTGCTCTAGCTCAAACCGTTGAGGCGCTAGAGGGTGTTTTTGACGAAAATAAGCGAAAAAATGTACAACCCTGCATGATTAGTCGAAGTGACGGGCGTTGACGGGCCGGAGGCCTATATCTTTGTGCACATTTTTGCACTACCTGACTCGGGTGTCAGCGCCGCAGGCCAAGGTAGATGTATGCCAGGCGCGTCGCAGCGTAACAGTGTTTCGTGAGGTATCGCGAAGCCTGTTACGCGAGACGTGGTCTGGCGTACATCTACCTTGTTAGTTGTTACAAGGCTCTCAAGTAGCGAGGTGGGCGCAGCAGCTCGTCATGTTGGCCACGCTAACTTTGTGGGGCTTCCTCAAAATTTGTGACTTACTTCGAGGGTCGTTCTCATTTTTCAAGAAGAATCCCTCGAAGTTACTGATTCCTCAAAGTTTTCCTTTTTTCCTTTAAAAAATGGGACTTCGTTTTTACCGTGTTACAAGAAGTTTTTGGTAGCTTTGTTTTTATCTTTCAAAACGATAAGCAATCATTAATCAAAGTACAGTGTACCATAAACGTAGCGACTAACCTGCGAGTAACTTTTTCTCTTCGGGGGTGAAGGCCGGAAGGCGCGATTCGCTGAGGCCATTCTCGGCGTCCGCCTTGTCCACAAGGTAGCGCAGGACAGGGGGGTAGTCCCCAAAAATCACCGGGTGGATCAGCGTGCCGACATACAGTTGATTAAATATTTCGGATGCCATCACATCCTCAGACTGTGTAGTCTTTGGTGATGATGGCCAGACCACCACAGATATACCGACTTTTCCTGAAGGTTTAGAACGTAAAATTAACCGAGAAAATAATTACAATCAGAGAAGAGTGTGGCTTGTTAAGCTGTTCAAGAACACTGCACGGTAAAAACAATACCTCATTTTATTTATTTTGTTTGGGAAAAGGGAAAACTCTCAGGAACTCTCCTGGTTCGACGAAACCTCCTTAGATTTCGAGGAAGTCTCCTGAAAAATGTCAGATTTTAACTCATTTTTCGAGAAGATTTCTCAAAATCTGAGGCGAGATCGGGGGACTCTTCCTCAAACATGTGAGTTCGTCAAAGCTTTCCCTTTCCCCTCGAAAAAGGAGACATTGTTTATACTGTGTGGTAGGAAGTAGTTGGATACCTTAAACTAACACTGTGTCGTCGTACATTTACAAAGTTTTTGTAAACTCGAATTATAATTTTAGTTGTAAATTTACGATAACACAGTTTTTACTCGCCAATAGATTTTAAGTGGATACGTACTGCATTTATTTTTACGATTGCAAATTTTACTTTCAGGACTTGCGTCAAGAAAAACTTTCCTGTAAACCTCCCTACTATTTTTCACAGTGTAAACGCACGGGTTTAAACGCGTATTTCGGAACGCACGCAGTTAATCTGCGTGTTATTTTGAACTCACGTAGTACGTCACCGGCTGCTACGCTGCGGATCAGGCAGGTGACCCACTGAAACCCGCCGCTCGACACGGCGCGCGCAGTGATCTCCAACTACGCGTGTTTTGGAAGGAGTAAACAACTGCGAGTTCTAAAACGCGCGGATGAACTGCGTGCGTTTCAAAAACGCGCCTTTGAACTGCAAGCGTTTTAGTGTAAGGTATTTTAAATGGGCGCTGCGAAGTAACACCAGGTGCTGACACTTTTACGTGTTAAACTAGGTGCACTGATAGAACTGGTCGGATATGGCAACTTTTGGGGGGCACTATTTGCCAAAGGCCCTTTAGTGAACAGAACTGTTGTCAGTGTAAATTTTCACTTCGAACGAGCCTAAACATGATAGAGTTCCATACAGTAATGACCTTCAATATAACATTTAAAGGGTGTTATATCTTACCTCTGTTCTTTCAGCGTGCCGAGAGTTTTGCGCGGTTTCGCCTAACTTAACTTTCGGACAAAGTGGCTCGTATTGAACAAAAGAATCTCCTGGTATTTTTGTCCCGTAAGAAGTAGGAAGTAGTGGTGTATTTTTAATGGGTGCTGCGTAGTTTCGCCAGGTTTCACGAAGGTCAAGTCATCCCTCAGGCTCCTCGTTTGTTGGCAATTACTTATTTGCAGATCATCTTCTAGACGCATTAACCAAATAACTCAAAATACACTTAAATTCCTAACAATCCAGCAAATATAAACCTCCACGCGTGACTCATTAACGATACAAATGTTTCTCGAAAACGGCTCGGCCGATTTGCATCATTCAAAGTGCA